TTAGGACATTTAACAGATCCTAATAATCCTTGGAATCTTACAGATAAATATTATCAAGTTATAGATGAGAAAATTATTTCGAACGTAACCTTTTTTAAAGAACCTGATGAATATACAAATTTATTTTCAAATTATGCCAACTCTCTTTTAGCAATGAGTTTATTTCTAACTGGTGCGTTAAATTTTTGATTTTGGAATTTTTAAAAATTATTACAATAACTTTTGTCTAAAAATATCTAATTTTTTATAGGTGATGGTACTTTTTTTGAAAATTGGTCACCTGAAAATAATAAAACAATGATTGCTTTAATGCTTTTATATTCATTTATCATCGTCGTGTTTCTCATGAACTTGTTGATTGGACTTTTAAATATGGCAATTGAAGCAGATAAAGATCGAGTAACTTATATAGCACAAAAGGCAGAGGTTAGTATATAATGAAAATCAGCTCAAGATATTTAAACACTCTATTAACAGTATCCTTTCCTTTATTAATTTAGATTCTTAAAGAAATTGAATTATTTTATTTACTTCCGAATCAAAGACGAAGCTGGAAATCATGGTTTCCTGAATTAATGTAATCATGCTTTTTCTTACTTTAAACAATTTTTTGTAATTTATATTAAAATTAAAATTTATATTTTGTAGCTATTACTACGCCGATGTTCAAGAAGTGAAGAAATTAACGGATGAAGGAAAAATGGACTCCGAAACAAAAGAAAATATTTTAAATATCATTAGAATATAAATTATTCTTATCAATTATTTTTATTTATATGTTCATTATTTTAAAGTATATATTTTTATATTATTACTGTGCTTTTTTGCTTTAATTATTAATTTTACTTATTAATAAATAAAATTTGTTGTTTAAGTAAAATATATTGTATTATTTAAGAAAGAGAACGATGATGAAAAGTAAAAAAAAATTACAATACTAGAGAAAGAAAATATTAATTTAGAATTTTAAAATAAAATTACTATTGCATGAAATGCGTTTTTCATTAACAGATGAAGGTAGAAACTTCAGCATTAATTTTTATAACAATATTTTAAACAAAAGATTTCATTTTTTTATCAACCAAACAATAAGTAATATATCAAGATTCAGTACCGAAATAAAAATTTTTATGTTTTTGTGCATTATTCTTAACGATTTATGCAATTTATGGTTAAAACAATTATCGATAAAAATTTATTTACTTGCTTCATTTACCGTAGCAAAACAATGAAAAATGTTTTTATAGATATGATTAAGAGAACATTTATTAATAAATTAGTAGCAGAGGAAAAATTAAAACTAAGATATTGTGTGTTAAATTTTTACAGTTAATGGTTTTTTTTTATATTGGTAATAGAAAAGCTATTCAACAAAATCAATTAAATGCGACTGAAACTATGATATATTAGAATGAATAAAATAAGTTTAAATTCGCTAAAATCTTATAGAATAATTCGTTATTGAAAATATTCTTAAATAATAATAAAGCCTGATATAATTTTTATTATAGACGTGCAATTAATCACATAAATTTTTAAAAGGTAAGATTATAAATTGAAAATTCTTTACCATTTTAACATTCTATTTTAAAATATGATCATGAAATTTCTCAAGATCCAGAAACAAAATATTTCTTAGTGTTAATGCAATATGTAAAGAATGATAAGAAATACATAAAGAACTTATATGATCCAGCATACGACAAATTTAGAGTAATTAAATATATTAAAAAGGGTGGTGTTATATTTCTGAAAGGAAAGAACAAAAGATGATAGATATCACTTAAAATTTGCTTTAGCTCGCCCAAGATGACTCTTCAGAAAGAAGTAATAATTCTTTCACGGTGCGGCGAATTTTAGATATCAATTATTTCACGGTACCCATGAAATCAAGAAATTCAACGGCAGACTCCGTGAAATAAATGTATATCACGATTCCATCATACTACATTAAACTATTATATTATCTCATTATTTTTATGTGTAAATGAAATAAATATAACAATTAATTAATATGGAAATGTGACTTTATTAACTCCGTTTCTATTATGTTGATTTAAACAGTCAGTTTGGTATGCAAATATCATAAACTCAGTTAAAAAAGTCAATATCTATGTAAATATGAAATGAAAATGAAAAGATGATATAAAGCATACTGAGATCGTAAGTAAAGTTGTCAAAATCTTCAATTTTGATTTTAATGCAAATAAAATGACAAATTTGCAAGTTTATTAATCCGTTATCAGCATCATTAGACGTTTTCAAGATATTTTCCGGATGTATAATTTTTATAGGACAGCTCTAACGATTAATTCATTCCTTCGAATCAAATATGTTTTTTTTTTATAAACTATAGGTTAATCTTTTAGACAGAATTGCGTAAATATTCAATTAAAATGGAACTGGATTAAAAAATATATGTACAGTATATAAACAGCAAGTAAACGTCTGGCAATTATTCAAGTTCAGATATAGTGATGGTCAACAGGTCGGACAAAAGCCTTTGATCGACAGAACTAACTGGTGCACCTTGTTAATCGTAATACTACGTCAATGTCATTGTTAGATCTATTTTTAAATCATGTATAAATTTTATTTTATTTTCATTTCTTAGCAAATTTCATTAATAATAAAGTTAACATTCTTATTTCATTATTTGTATTATTTATTATTATAGAAGATGACCTTGCGTCGAGAGTTCTTCTCAGAATGTTGAGACACTATTTTATACTTTCACCCTTCTTCTTGTCCTCATATAGGTTTTGATTTTGATATCAACTACACATTATATTTTTATTTATTATAATATCTCTTAGGAAAGGCCTTTGAGGTATTCGTTTAATTTGTTTCTTGTCTCAGCATAATTCTAGCATAATGCAGGATTTCTTCATGCATAATACGAATAAAGGAAATATTACAGAAAAAAGAGAATTGTATAAAATTGTATTCTAACATCAAAGATATGTATAGAAGAAGCTGTAAGCCAAGCAGAAAAGGTTTGATGATTTTCAATTACTCCAACCTTTGATATCATTATTAAATGACGATGATGAAATTCGAAAGTTAATTATCATTGGTTAACCCTTGAATTCAGGAGGTAAACTAATTGGTATATCTTCTGAGGCAAATAATCGCTTCCTTATTATCTACTAATCCTTC